CGAAAGAATCGCACATTGAAAGATATGATGAATGCGATGCTAGTAAGTTCGGGCTTGCCACAAAATATGTGGGGCGAAGCAATCTTGACAAGCAATTACCTTTTAAATAAGGTTCCCCGGAAAAAATATGATAAAACTCCGTACGAGTTGTGGAAAGGTAGACGACCTTCCTATCAATATTTGAAAGTGTGGGGGTGTCTTGCTAAGGTGCTTGTACCAACACCTAAGAAAATAAAAATAGGTCCAAAAACGGTGGATTGTATTTTTATTGGGTATGCACAAAATAGTAGTGCTTACCGGTTTTTAGTGTACGATTCGAATAATCCGGATGTACATAAAAATACAATAATTGAGTCAAGGAATGCATCATTCTTTGAAGACGTATTTCCATGCAAGTCCAACGATGGACCTAGCACGTCAAAACGGACATTTGACGTAGCTATGGAAAATACTAGTGAGGGATCCGGTGAAGAAGCCGAACCCCGACGTAGCAAACGTGCTAGAGTTGAAAAATCCTTCGGACCGGATTTTCTCACCTACTTGTTAGAATTCGATTCGAATATTCTAACTTGTATGGTAGAAAATGAACCGGATTTTCTAACATGTTTGGTAGAAAATGAGCCACGGACTTATACGGAAGCCGTAACGTCTACCGAAGGACCGATGTGGAAAGAAGCCATTAAAAGTGAGGTGGACTCTATCCTAAAAAATCACACATGGGAATTGGTTGATCTCCCTCTGGGAAGTAAACCTTTGGGATCCAAGTGGATTTTTAAACGTAAAATGAAACCTGATGGTTCCATTGATAAGTATAAGGCCAGACTTGTAATCAAAGGATACAAGCAACGTGAAGGCCATGATTACTTTGATACGTATTCTCCGGTAACGAGAATAAATTCCATTAGGATGATACTAGCAATTGCCGCTTTGCGGAATTTGGAAGTTCATCAAATGGACGTAAAAACCGCTTTTCTAAATGGCGATATAGACGAAGAAATCTATATGGAACAACCCGAGGGTTTTCGTGTTCCTGGCCAAGAAAGGAAAGTTTGTAAATTAATTAAATCATTGTACGGATTGAAACAAGCCCCTAAACAGTGGCACGAAAAGTTCGATCATGCAATGTTAATTAATGGGTTTAAAATAAACGAAAGTGACAAATGCGTCTATGTGAAAAGCACGGTAGACGGCTATGTCATTTTATGTTTATACGTGGATGATATACTCATCGTGGGTAGTAATAATCTGATGATTAATTCTACCAAAAACATGTTGAATTCTAAATTTGACATGAAGGATATGGGGCTGGCCGATTTAATCCTTGGGATTAAAATAATTAGAGGACCTGATGGTCTGACACTAAGCCAATCCCATTACGTGGATAAAATCCTTACTAAATTTAATAAGGATGATTATCAAGAGGCAAGGACGCCATTAGATAAAAACGTACATCTGACCAAAAATCGTGGAGAGTGTATTTCTCAAGTAGAATACGCTAGGATTATTGGCAGTTTAATGTATCTAATGAGTTGTACTAGGCCTGATATTGCCTTTGTGGTTAGTAAGCTTAGTAGATATACTAGCAACCCCGGTGATGAACACTGGAAGGCAATAGTAAGAGTTTTGAGGTATTTACGAAAAACCCAAAACCTTGGACTGCACTATGGAAGATATCCAGCTGTACTTGAAGGGTATAGCGACGCTAGTTGGATATCTGACATTAAGGACTCAAAGTCCACGAGTGGATATATTTTCACTTTGGCGGGTGCAGCCGTTTCATGGAAGTCCTCGAAACAAACGTTAATAGCTAGATCCACGATGGAATCTGAGCTAATAGCCTTGGATAAGTGCACTGAAGAGGCTGAATGGCTACGCCATTTTCTCGAGGATATTCCAAGTTGGGAGAAGCCTGTCCCTCCAATATGTATACATTGCGATTGTCAAGCGGCAATTGGAAGGGCACAGAGCAATCTCTATAATGGTAAGTCTAGACACGTCCGTCGTAGACATAACACCATTAAACAACTTCTCACAACGGGTGTTATCACTATTGACTATCGTGTAGATCAACATTTTAGAATCATTAAAGCAAACATTTTTGCTAACCTCGTGCGGGAGTCACTGTTTCAACGAGGAGTGGGTAGGAGTCCGGGACCCCCACAGTGACTATCCTTCGCTCTATAATTTAGTTGTCCCATTTGAACCTAGGACCAACTAGGTTGGGTATCCACTATAGAACTTTTCAATTCACGGGCTTTAATCCCATTCCTCGTGACAACTTCTCCAACAATTCTCTATCCAATGCCTTGGTTAGCGGATCCGCCATGTTATCCCTTGACTTCACGTAGTCAATAGTGATAACACCCGTTGTGAGAAGTTGTTTAATGGTGTTATGTCTACGACGGACGTGTCTAGACTTACCATTATAGAGATTGCTCTGTGCCCTTCCAATTGCCGCTTGACAATCGCAATGTATACATATTGGAGGGACAGGCTTCTCCCAACTTGGAATATCCTCGAGAAAATGGCGTAGCCATTCAGCCTCTTCAGTGCACTTATCCAAGGCTATTAGCTCAGATTCCATCGTGGATCTAGCTATTAACGTTTGTTTCGAGGACTTCCATGAAACGGCTGCACCCGCCAAAGTGAAAATATATCCACTCGTGGACTTTGAGTCCTTAATGTCAGATATCCAACTAGCGTCGCTATACCCTTCAAGTACAGCTGGATATCTTCCATAGTGCAGTCCAAGGTTTTGGGTTTTTCGTAAATACCTCAAAACTCTTACTATTGCCTTCCAGTGTTCATCACCGGGGTTGCTAGTATATCTACTAAGCTTACTTACCACAAAGGCAATATCAGGCCTAGTACAACTCATTAGATACATTAAACTGCCAATAATCCTAGCGTATTCTACTTGAGAAATACACTCTCCACGATTTTTGGTCAGATGTACGTTTTTATCTAATGGCGTCCTTGCCTCTTGATAATCATCCTTATTAAATTTAGTAAGGATTTTATCCACGTAATGGGATTGGCTTAGTGTCAGACCGTCAGGTCCTCTAATTATTTTAATCCCAAGGATTAAATCGGCCAGCCCCATATCCTTCATGTCAAATTTAGAATTCAACATGTTTTTGGTAGAATTAATCATCAGATTATTACTACCCACGATGAGTATATCATCCACGTATAAACATAAAATGACATAACCGTCTACCGTGCTTTTCACATAGACGCATTTGTCACTTTCGTTTATTTTAAACCCATTAATTAACATTGCATGATCGAACTTTTCGTGCCACTGTTTAGGGGCTTGTTTCAATCCGTACAATGATTTAATTAATTTACAAACTTTCCTTTCTTGGCCAGGAACACGAAAACCCTCGGGTTGTTCCATATAGATTTCTTCGTCTATATCGCCATTTAGAAAAGCGGTTTTTACGTCCATTTGATGAACTTCCAAATTCCGCAAAGCGGCAATTGCTAGTATCATCCTAATGGAATTTATTCTCGTTACCAGAGAATACGTATCAAAGTAATCATGGCCTTCACGTTGCTTGTATCCTTTGATTACAAGTCTGGCCTTATACTTATCAATGGAACCATCAGGTTTCATTTTACGTTTAAAAATCCACTTGGATCCCAAAGGTTTACTTCCCAGAGGGAGATCAACCAATTCCCATGTGTGATTTTTTAGGATAGAGTCCACCTCACTTTTAATGGCTTCTTTCCACATCGGTCCTTCGGTAGACGTTACGGCTTCCGTATAAGTCCGTGGCTCATTTTCTACCAAACATGTTAGAAAATCCGGTTCATTTTCTACCATACAAGTTAGAATATTCGAATCGAATTCTAACAAGTAGGTGAGAAAATCCGGTCCGAAGGATTTTTCAACTCTAGCACGTTTGCTACGTCGGGGTTCGGCTTCTTCACCGGATCCCTCGCTAGTATTTTCCATAGCTACGTCAAATGTCCGTTTTGACGTGCTAGGTCCATCGTTGGACTTGCATGGAAATACGTCTTCAAAGAATGATGCATTCCTTGACTCTATTATTGTATTTTTATGTACATCCGGATTATTCGAATCGTACACTAAAAACCGGTAAGCACTACTATTTTGTGCATACCCAATAAAAATACAATCCACCGTTTTTGGACCTATTTTTATTTTCTTAGGTGTTGGTACAAGCACCTTAGCAAGACACCCCCACACTTTTAAATATTGATAGGAAGGCCGTCTGCCTTTCCACAACTCGTACGGAGTTTTATCATATTTTTTCCGGGGAACCTTATTTAAAAGGTAATTGCTTGTCAAGATTGCTTCGCCCCACATATTTTGTGGCAAGCCCGAACTTACTAGCATCGCATTCATCATATCTTTCAATGTGCGATTCTTTCGTTCGGCAACACCGTTTGATTGAGGTGAATAGGGTGCGGTACGTTCGTGTACTATACCCACACTAGCGCAAAAGTCACCAATTGGTGCTTCATACTCGCCACCTCGATCACTCCTAACCGTTTTAATCCGTCGATTAAGTTGGTTTTCCACTTCATTCTTATAAAGAATGAATTTATCGATTGCTTCGTGTTTATTTTTCAACAAATAAACATAGCTATAGCGAGTGCTATCATCGATAAAAGTAATAAAATATTTATTACCGCCACGTGTTTGTATTGATTTAAAATCACAAACGTCACTATGAATTAATTCTAGTGGTTCCGTTTTTCTTTCAACCGATTTGAAAGACGTTTTCGTTAGTTTTGCCTCAACACAAATATCACATTTGTGCTTCACATCAATTGTGAATTTAGGAATGTGTTCCATGTTAATTAATCTACGTATAGAATTAAAATTAACATGTCCTAGTCTACCATGCCACACATTGGAAGACTCAAGCAAGTAAGCAGAAGGGATTTTATTATTATTATTATTAATAATAGTCATTACATTGAGCTTAAACAGCCCATCACATGCATACCCTTTGCCCACATACATTCCCGACTTGGACAAAACTAATTTGTCCGACTCAAAAACCATGCGGAATCCATGCTTGTTCAACAACGAACCGGAAATCAGGTTTTTGCGTATCTCCGGAACGAACAGCACTTGGTTTAGAGTCAGCTCCTTGCCCGAAGTCATCTTCAGGACCACCTTGCCCACGCCTTCCACCTCGGAATGGGCTGAGTTTCCCATCCACACTTTCTCACCATTAGATGGCTCAAAAGTAGTGAATAACTCCCGGTTTGAGCAAATATGCCGGGTTGCACCGGTGTCCACGAACCACTCCTTGGAATTGGATCCAACGAGGTTGACCTCGGTCACCACGGCCGCAAGGATGATGTCTTCATCCTTTTGCCCACCTTGCATGTCACGCCCCAGACCACAATCCAAGCGCGTGTACAACCGCCGTGAGATCAAGTGATGTCACCCGCGAGTCAACCTCACTTGATTACACAAGGCGTTCGAGAAAAATAATCCATCCATACTCAGTAGTAAACATACATAACAACATCACATTTAAACCAATGAATAGCGGAAATATTCAACGGTAAGTCATAAGCCACAACCGGCCAATAACATGGGCATGCAAGCCCCAAAAGAATAGTTTATAACAAATAAAAATATCCATGAGCAATGGTTGGTAATTTGAAATAAAATGAGGAAGCACGAACCACGTCTTCCTTGATTTGATGTCACCCGTAGGAAGGTGCAGGTGGCAAGCCCTAGCTTCAACCTGAGAATGGTGGGGCCCCCCGAAGGGGTCAGTACAAGTACCGAGCGAGTAGCAGGCTAAATATAGAATAACTAGCGTTTCAAGTATAAGACCCAAACATAGGATGATACATATACGTATAGTCCTCCCCCCAAGTTTGAAATACATATTAGTATACATACACTTGGAAATACCCGACCCGTAGGTCATTGTTTATTTGGGAAAATAATAGTAGCCAATATCCTTGACTTAAATCCCAACCCACCCATATACCTATGAGTGTATAGAACTCCTCCTTGTTCAAATAAATTATCATAAGGACACCGTCCGGTCCTAGATCATTAAATGTAGCCTATGAGTTTTGAGGATACACGCCCGATCCTTGGGTACTCCACCCTATAACCGAGTTTTGAGGATAACCGCCCGATCCTTGGGTACTCCACCCTATATAACCGAGTTTTGAGGATAACCGCCCGATCCTTGGGTACTCCACCCTATATAACCGAGTTTTGAGGATAACCGCCCGATCCTTGGGTACTCCACCCTATATAACCGAGTCTTGAGGATAACCGCCCGATCCTTGGGTACTCCACCCTATATAACCGAGTTTTGAGGATAACCGCCCGATCCTTGGGTACTCCACCCTATATAACCGAGTTTTGAGGATAACCGCCCGATCCTTGGGTACTCCACCCTATATAACCGAGTTTTGAGGATAACCGCCCGATCCTTGGGTACTCCACCCTATATAACTGAGTTTTGAGGATAACCGCCCGATCCTTGGGTACTCCACCCTATATAACCGAGTTTTGAGGATAACCGCCCGATCCTTGGGTACTCCACCCTATATAACCGAGTTTTGAGGATAACCGCCCGATCCTTGGGTACTCCACCCTATATAACCGAGTTTTGAGGATAACCGCCCGATCCTTGGGTACTCCACCCTATATAACTGAGTTTTGAGGATAACCGCCCGATCCTTGGGTACTCCACCCGACCTATGACTTACCACATATCACACTAGATAGGGTCTATATCATATTTAGCCATTCATAACTAATCCAATACATAAAACTTATGTATCACATTCCATGCAAAGCCATGCAATTATGTAAATGTACAATTAATTAATATCGACCGGTATTAATTAATCCATTATCCACCGGTCAACGTGGTCGTTGACCGCCATTTCAAACCTTGTACAAATCAACTTAATCATCGCATAATTAAGTTAAAATATTCATTTGTGCTTCTAATACACTTCAAGCAAATATGCATTTTATATAATTCTTCATATCATATTCTATGCATAAACAATCTATTTCTTTCATACAAACTTAACTATGTTGGGTAATCACATGTCTAAATATCTTTTAAACATCATTATGCACACATATAACATTTATTTAGGTAATCTCATAATTGACCCAAAAGTTATAAGATATTAAGCCGTCCACTCACCTTGAACTAGCGTATGAAGTTCTACCCTTCTTGGTTGAACTCCGGTGAAACTCCGGCGACTTTTGGTCAACTCCGGCGAAAACTCCGGCGACTTTTCCAACTTTGTGAAATCACTTGAGATACCCTTTACAAGTGCCTAACAAGGTTTTAACATCATAAAACCTTAATCAATACAAATAACCTATAAAAGGTTATTTTCCGGTGAACCGGTCGTTTTGGCTTCTAAGTCCGTTCTTGGACATAGAATCACTTTCCAACCCATTAATCCATACTTATAGCATGTAGAACCATACTAGGGGTCCTTCACATGATATATACCTCATATGGTAGAAGAAAAATAAAGGAGAAGTTATAATAAGGTCATTACCTTAATTATTCACACTTTTCCCAACTTTTTCCCTCTTTAATCTTCCTTCTTGGAACCCTATGGCTTGAGCTCGAATTTTGGCTATGGAAGATGAGTTTGCAGAGGTCTCCTTGTTCTCTTGGTGTGCCTTGGCCGAAATTATGGGGTGGGTGAGTGAGGAGATAGCCTCTTTGGCTTTTCTCTCAAAATAATGTGGGAATGGGTCCTCCCCATTGTACTTTTGATGCCAAATGCATCTCCTCCTCATTTCCTCTTGTCAACCCAGCTCTCAATTGATGTGTTTAGCACATAAAAACGTGGGGTGGCCCCCACTCATGTGGGAGGTCATCCCTTTGTGTCCCGATGTGTACAATCGGTCCCGAAAGTTGTATTTTTCGGACTGTTTTAAATATATTTTATTTTATCAGGTCAAATAAAATATATTATGTGCTCTTACTCATTATGACATGTATAATGAATATACATTCCCCAACTTTAATTTATAAACCTCCGAAATTCATTTCCGGGCTGTTATCTGTTAAATTGTCGGTACCGGTAATTGGGCCTCTTTTTCCCAATCGGTCAACTCTGCGCCTTTTCACGACCCAAATAAAATATCCACCACTATGTAAATATTATCTTGACCAAGATGAATAAAATATGTGGTCTCGGGAGTGTCGGGCGGCCCCCGCTCCCGGTGTGGGTCCCACGTGCAATTTACTATTCACGCGAAAGAAATAATAAAAAATTTACAACCTCGTAAATTCATTAATCCCTTAATAAGGTTCAATACATTATTTACATAAAAGTAAATATATTTGGGGACGGTGTTACAAGTTCACCCCCCCTTATTTGGGATTTTGTCCCCGAAATCCAAGTATCTAATCGAAAAGAAATGGGTATTGCTCCCTCATTGAGATCTCGGTCTCCCAAGTTTCTTCTTCGACTCGATCACTCCTCCAAAGAACCTTTACCATAGGAATCTCCTTATTCCTAAGCTTCTTCACTTGTTGACCAACAATCTTCACTGGTTCCACCGCATATTGCAAGTCCTCACGGATCTCTACCGGTGGTCTCTCAAGAATATGAGATGGGTCTCGTATGTACTTCTTGAGCATTGATACATGAAACACGTCATGTATCTTCTCAAGTTCAGGCGTCAACTTGAGACGGTAAGCCACGGCCCCTATTCTTTCAAGGATTTCAAATGGACCGATGTATCGGGGATTAAGCTTTCCCCTTGATACAAATCGAATGATGCCCTTCCAAGGAGAAATCCTTAGGAAGACCTCATCACCGACTTCGAACTCTAACGGTCTCCGCCGTTTATCAGCATAACTTTTCTGTCGGTCCTGAGCGGTCTTCAGTCTGTCCCGAATGATCCTCACCTTGGCCTTGGTGATCTCAACCAGCTCTATCCCTTCGAGTTTGGCCTCGCCAACCTCGTCCCAACACAACGGTGTTCTGCATTTCCTCCCATACAATGCCTCATATGGGGGCATGCCGATACTTGCCCGATAACTGTTGTTATAGACAAACTCCATTAGGGCCAAATGCTTGTCCCAACTTCCTTGGAACTCCAGCGCACATGCCCTAAGCATGTCTTCCAAAATCTGTATCACCCGTTCAGACTGTCCATCCGTCTGTGGGTGAAAAGCTGTGCTAAACTTCAGTTTAGTTCCCAACGATGCTTGAAACTTTGGCCAAAATCGGGATGTGAATCGTGGATCCCTATCCGAGACAATGGATATTGGGACTCCATGCAATCTCACAATCTCCTCTGTGTAGAGCTTGGCCAATCTTTCAAGAGGATAAGTAATGTTGATAGGCAGAAAGTGTGCACTCTTGGTGAGCCTATCAACCACTACCCGTACTGCGTCATAGTTGTTCACTGTTCGTGGTAGCCCCACCACGAAGTCCATGGTCACGTGCTCCCACTTCCACTCTGGGATGGTGAGTGGTTGCAAAAGCCCTGCCGGGTGCTGATGTTCTGCCTTAACTTGCTGGCAAGTAAGGCATCGACTCACATACTCTGCGATGTCTCTCTTCATACCTGACCACCAGTAACTTTCCTTCAAATCTCGGTACATCTTAGTACCTCCTGGATGCATAGCATAAGCTGAAGAATGAGCCTCCTCAAGTATAGACTTCTGGAGTTCCTCATTCTTTGGTATGCATACACGATCCTTAAACAATAATAGACCGTCATCACGTACTCGGAAGTTCTCAACGGGCCCCGCAAGGATCCTTTCACGGATCTTCTGACATTCCTCATCCATGGCCTGACTTCGACTAATCTCGCCCAATAGGGTGGGCCTAACCTCGAATCGAGCAATGAGAGCCCCACACATGGACACCTCCACGCGTGCCCTCAATGCCTGTAGACATGTGAGTAGCGTCCCTGTCGTATTCTTCCTGCTCAGTGCGTCGGCCACGACATTGGCCTTTCCGGGATGATAGTCGATGATCAAGTCATAGTCCTTGATCAACTCCATCCATCTCCTCTGCCTCATATTCAACTCTTTCTGAGTGAACACGTACTTCAAGCTCTTATGGTTTGTAAAAATGTGACATGTCTCCCCGTAGAGATAATGCCTCCAGATTTTCAGTGCAAACACTACCGCCCCTAATTCTAGATCATGGGTAGGGTAGTTCACCTCGTGCTTTCTTTATTGCCTTGAAGCATAGGCAATCACTTTACCGTTTTGCATCAGTACACATCCAAGCCCTTGGATGCTAGCATCACTGTAGATATCATACCATATCCCCTGTATGGGTAGGGCTAGGACTGGTGCTTCGGTAAGTCGTTTCTTCAGTTCAAGGAACCCTTTCTCACGCTTGTCGTCCCATATAAACTTGGCCCCTTTCTTTGTGAGCTTCGTTAATGGGGACGCCAATACGGAGAATTTCTCAACAAATTTACGATAGTATCCCGCTAGGCCAAGGGAACTACGTATCTCTCTCACATTCTTGGGTCCCTCCCAATCCATGATAGCTTTTATCTTGGCGTTATCCACAGCAACGCCCGAACCAGATATGACATGACCGAGGAAACCAATCTCCTTGAGCCAAAATTCGCATTTAGAGAACTTGGCAAAGAGTTGCTTTTCCCTTAGCCGATCAAGTATAAGCCCCAAATGATGTTCGTGCTCCTCCTCGCTCTTGGAGTATATTAAGATATCGTCAATGAATACTATCACAAATTGGTCTAAGTATTCACTAAACACACGGTTCATCAAGTCCATGAATGCCGCCGGGGCGTTGGTTAAACCAAACGACATCACCGGGAATTCATAATGACCATATCTAGTGCGAAATGCACTCTTAGGTATGTCACTCTCCTTGATCTTCAACTGATGATACCCCGACCTCAAGTCAATCTTCGAGAACACTATTGCTCCTCGAAGTTGATCGAACAAGTCATCAATCTTCGGTAAGGGATACCTGTTCTTGATGGTGACCTTGTCCAACTGTCGGTAGTCGATACACATTCTTAATGTACCATCTTTCTTCTTTACGAATAGTACGGGTGCTCCCCACGGTGAATGACTGGGTCAGATGAACCCGTTGTCCAATAGTTCTTGTAGTTGGACCTTCAACTCTTGAAGTTCGGCCGGTGCCATTCGATAAGGAGGAATCGAATTGGGTTTGGTCCCCGGCTCCACTTCGATTACAAATTGAATCTCTCTATCGGGTGGAAGCCCCGGTAGGTCCTTGGGAAAGACGTCCGGGTACTTGCACACGACTCGAACATCCTTGATGTCGACTTCTTTCTTCGTATCATCTACCACGTAAGCAAGGTATGCGTGACATCCCTTCCTCATCATCTTCCGTGCTCTCATCACGGATATGATACAAGCATTAGATTTCCCCCGATCTCCTTCGAAACATAGCGTGTTTCCTTGATCATCCTCGAGCTCCAACACCTTGGTGTAACAATCTACTCGAGCATGGTGTTTCTCGAGCCAATCCATTCCTAGGATTGCATCGAACTCCAACATGCTCAGAGGTACGAAATCACAAGTCAAAGGTTGACCCGTCACTTCTACCTCACACGAGGGATAGTAATGATCTCTCTCCACGTCGTCTCTTAACGGTGTGGAGACTAGCAACGCTTGCGTCATAGGTGTCAATGGCACGCCAAGGCCCTCGGCGAACGCCTCACTCACGAATGAGCGTTGTGCCCCGGTATCGATGAGGATCCTCGCACACCTACCATTGATCTTTAATGTTCCTACATTTATACACCATGTAAGATACATTTTCTAGTGTTTTTACACATCTTTAGGAGGTTATTAAGTTAATACTAATGTTTGGAAACAAACGGGGGTCCAAACGTAGAAGAACGGGGCGAAAAAAATCAACTTTCGGGTGTTGGGGGTCCACGCACGGCGTGCCTGGGTGGCACGCACGGCCGTGCGTGCAACAATCTCACCCTGCTTGCCACTGCCGGCCAGGCACGATGCCAGGCACGGCGTGCCTTCGGCCGTGCCTGGCCAAAAATTCCTTCGGACACACTGCCTTCCAGGCACGACGCCAGGCACGGCGTGCCTGCGGCCGTGCCTGGCCCAATTTTTTTTTTTCTTCTTCTTCTTCGGGTGCCACTGCCTTCCAGGCACGATGCCAGGCACGGCGTGCCTGCGGGCGTGCCTGGCCAGCAGTGGCTGTTTCCAGCCCGATTCGGCCTAACTCACCCGGTTTGACCCCGGGGTGGCCCGCACTCAATCCCAACGACGTATATGACCAAAGTAAGCCTAGAAATACATGGGAATACGTGTTTACCTGCAACGGAGTCCGGGTTTGCTCTCGCATCCGCCTCGGTCATTGCGTAGACCCTTGCTTGGGCCCCGCCTTGATTGACGGACGTAGCGTTGCTCATCGTTGGTTCCGTATGGTTTCCTTCCACGGTGAGCCCTTCCTCGGCTTGCAATGTCTCTCGTTGCCTCCTCCATGGGCAACTTAATTTCATATGGGTTGTGCTCCCACATTTGTAGCACATCGGGGGCTCGTTGCACTTTCCAAAATGTTTCTTAGAGCAATTAGAACATTTGGATGGTCTTAAGGAGTAAGGAAAGGACGTGTGCCACTTTGAGTTCCTTTTCTTTTTCACCGGTGATGCCGGTGCCGTAAGAGTGCTTTCTCCTCCTTGGTCGTTTGCCCAAGGATGGGTTTGGCTGACAGTCATATCACGTTGGGAGGTGGCCCGATCTCGCCTCGCCTGACGCCTAAGTTCGTTCCTCCTGGTGTTCATGTTACACATCGAGCCCACTTGATTAACGTTTGCCGCTTGGCGGCCCTCACGGCCCCCATGGCCTATTCCTCTCCCCGTAAAGGCTCGTGACACAGCCCGGCTAGCCTCAAGGTAAGCTACCGACGCTTGTCCCTTAGGGTCATTTCTTGTTGCCATTCGCTTACCCTCCATTTCTGAAACGGAATTTGGACGAGTCTTTAGACTCCTATGAATGTCAATTGACAGAAAAACGTTATAGACACGTATCGACCCAAGTCACCACCATACCAATTGTTAAGGGTACCGTCTTAACAATTAGAGGCCTTGCAACTTAAGCACCAATAGTCCTATAAACGTCAAAATACAATGCTCATGGTTTTCGGTAAGAACTCTTTTGTAAGATCTTTTGTGAGAGGTTGATTATATAGTTTAGAACTGAGATGGCTCTGATACCACTTAATTGTCACGCCCCAGACCACAATCCAAGCGCGTGTACAACCGCCGTGAGATCAAGTGATGTCACCCGCGAGTCAACCTCACTTGATTACACAAGGCGTTCGAGAAAAATAATCCATCCATACTCAGTAGTAAACATACATAACAACATCACATTTAAACCAATGAATAGCGGAAATATTCAACGGTAAGTCATAAGCCACAACCGGCCAATAACATGGGCATGCAAGCCCCAAAAGAATAGTTTATAACAAATAAAAATATCCATGAGCAATGGTTGGTAATTTGAAATAAAATGAGGAAGCACGAACCACGTCTTCCTTGATTTGATGTCACCCGTAGGAAGGTGCAGGTGGCAAGCCCTAGCTTCAACCTGAGAATGGTGGGGCCCCCCGAAGGGGTCAGTACAAGTACCGAGCGAGTAGCAGGCTAAATATAGAATAACTAGCGTTTCAAGTATAAGACCCAAACATAGGATGATACATATACGTATAGTCCTCCCCCCAAGTTTGAAATACATATTAGTATACATACACTTGGAAATACCCGACCCGTAGGTCATTGTTTATTTGGGAAAATAATAGTAGCCAATATCCTTGACTTAAATCCCAACCCACCCATATACCTATGAGTGTATAGAACTCCTCCTTGTTCAAATAAATTATCATAAGGACACCGTCCGGTCCTAGATCATTAAATGTAGCCTATGAGTTTTGAGGATACACGCCCGATCCTTGGGTACTCCACCCTATAACCGAGTTTTGAGGATAACCGCCCGATCCTTGGGTACTCCACCCTATATAACCGAGTTTTGAGGATAACCGCCCGATCCTTGGGTACTCCACCCTATATAACCGAGTTTTGAGGATAACCGCCCGATCCTTGGGTACTCCACCCTATATAACCGAGTCTTGAGGATAACCGCCCGATCCTTGGGTACTCCACCCTATATAACCGAGTTTTGAGGATAACCGCCCGATCCTTGGGTACTCCACCCTATATAACCGAGTTTTGAGGATAACCGCCCGATCCTTGGGTACTCCACCCTATATAACCGAGTTTTGAGGATAACCGCCCGATCCTTGGGTACTCCACCCTATATAACTGAGTTTTGAGGATAACCGCCCGATCCTTGGGTACTCCACCCTATATAACCGAGTTTTGAGGATAACCGCCCGATCCTTGGGTACTCCACCCTATATAACCGAGTTTTGAGGATAACCGCCCGATCCTTGGGTACTCCACCCTATATAACCGAGTTTTGAGGATAACCGCCCGATCCTTGGGTACTCCACCCTATATAACTGAGTTTTGAGGATAACCGCCCGATCCTTGGGTACTCCACCCGACCTATGACTTACCACATATCACACTAGATAGGGTCTATATCATATTTAGCCATTCATAACTAATCCAATACATAAAACTTATGTATCACATTCCATGCAAAGCCATGCAATTATGTAAATGTACAATTAATTAATATCGACCGGTATTAATTAATCCATTATCCACCGGTCAACGTGGTCGTTGACCGCCATTTCAAACCTTGTACAAATCAACTTAATCATCGCATAATTAAGTTAAAATATTCATTTGTGCTTCTAATACACTTCAAGCAAATATGCATTTTATATAATTCTTCATATCATATTCTATGCATAAACAATCTATTTCTTTCATACAAACTTAACTATGTTGGGTAATCACATGTCTAAATATCTTTTAAACATCATTATGCACACATATAACATTTATTTAGGTAATCTCATAATTGACCCAAAAGTTATAAGATATTAAGCCGTCCACTCACCTTGAACTAGCGTATGAAGTTCTACCCTTCTTGGTTGAACTCCGGTGAAACTCCGGCGACTTTTGGTCAACTCCGGCGAAAACTCCGGCGACTTTTCCAACTTTGTGAAATCACTTGAGATACCCTTTACAAGTGCCTAACAAGGTTTTAACATCATAAAACCTTAATCAATACAAATAACCTATAAAAGGTTATTTTCCGGTGAACCGGTCGTTTTGGCTTCTAAGTCCGTTCTTGGACATAGAATCACTTTCCAACCCATTAATCCATACTTATAGCATGTAGAACCATACTAGGGGTCCTTCACATGATATATACCTCATATGGTAGAAGAAAAATAAAGGAGAAGTTATAATAAGGTCATTACCTTAATTATTCACACTTTTCCCAACTTTTTCCCTCTTTAATCTTCCTTCTTGGAACCCTATGGCTTGAGCTCGAATTTTGGCTATGGAAGATGAGTTTGCAGAGGTCTCCTTGTTCTCTTGGTGTGCCTTGGCCGAAATTATGGGGTGGGTGAGTGAGGAGATAGCCTCTTTGGCTTTTCTCTCAAAATAATGTGGGAATGGGTCCTCCCCATTGTACTTTTGATGCCAAATGCATCTCCTCCTCATTTCCTCTTGTCAACCCAGCTCTCAATTGATGTGTTTAGCACATAAAAACGTGGGGTGGCCCCCACTCATGTGGGAGGTCATCCCTTTGTGTCCCGATGTGTACAATCGGTCCCGAAAGTTGTATTTTTCGGACTGTTTTAAATATATTTTATTTTATCAGGTCAAATAAAATATATTATGTGCTCTTACTCATTATGACATGTATAATGAATATACATTCCCCAACTTTAATTTATAAACCTCCGAAATTCATTTCCGGGCTGTTATCTGTTAAATTGTCGGTACCGGTAATTGGGCCTCTTTTTCCCAATCGGTCAACTCTGCGCCTTTTCACGACCCAAATAAAATATCCACCACTATGTAAATATTATCTTGACCAAGATGAATAAAATATGTGGTCTCGGGAGTGTCGGGCGGCCCCCGCTCCCGGTGTGGGTCCCACGTGCAATTTACTATTCACGCGAAAGAAATAATAAAAAATTTACAACCTCGTAAATTCATTAATCCCTTAATAAGGTTCAATACATTATTTACATAAAAGTAAATATATTTGGGGACGGTGTTACATTGCACCAAGTTGACTTGGGAGTCTTTCTTCTTCCTTGGTGCCTTGCAATCCGAGGACTTGTGTCCGTTCTTGTTGCAATTGAAGCATTTTCCATTAAACTTGGGTTTGGAAACGCCTCCTTTGGGACCGAGCTTGCTCTTCCCATTGCCTTTATTTTTGGAGCCTTTTGCATGCTCCACCACGTTGGCCTTGACACCGTGAACAATTGGGAGTTTCCCATCATTCTTCCGGTTATCCTCTTCAATCTGAAGACGGAGTATCAATTGCTCCAAGTTCATTTCCTTTCGCTTATGCTTAAGGTAGTTTTTGAAATCCTTCCAAGCCGGCGGCAATAAATGAATAATTGACGCCACTTGGAACGACTCGCTAACCGTCATTCCTTCATCTCGAATTTCGTTGAAGATCATTTGCATCTCCTCAACTTGACTCAAGACCGTCTTCGAATCCACCATTTTAAAATCAAGGAATCGACCAACAACAAATTTCTTTGCGCCGGCATCCTCGCTTTTATATTTGTGGTCCAAAGCATTCCATAGCTCCTTAGCCGTAGCTAATTTGCTATACACATCGTACAAAGCATCGTGCAGCCCGTTCAACACATAGTTTCGGCAAAGGAAGTCAGAATGCTTCCATGCTTCAACCGCATTGAAAGATTGCACATCCACCTCACCCCCGATTACAGCCGGAGCGTCCTCGGTCAAGAACCTTGCCAAGCCGAGAGTAGTGAGGTAAAAGAGCATCTTTTGCTGCCACCTCTTGAAGTTCAACCCGTTAAATTTTTCGGGTTTTTCCACAGAGTTGCTCGGCACGGTCACCATAGGGATAGCCCTTTGGTTAACCAAAGCAGATGCACCGCGTTGTGAACTATTGTTCACCGGAGCTCCGCTTTCAGAGTGATTATCGTTCAAAACCGTTCAAAGCATTCTGCCCAACAACATTTTCATTTTCTTGAGAAGTCATTTTTCCGTTTCTTACGTTCTTCAGAAACACAAAAACAAGTTCGTTCACCCAGGTGACAAACTAGAAGTGTAAGATTGTTTACCGTAGTAGAACAATCACCGAATACGTTTTAAGTTTGTATCCGTATGATACAAGCTTAGCAACAAAATACGTTTTAAGATTGTACCCGTATGGTACAAGCTTAAGCAAACAAATACGTTTTAAGTTTGTTGGGTGTGTTTCGAAAAACAAAGAAAATTAATTAAAATAAATTAATTAATAAAATGACAAAAGAAAACAGAAATGAGATGGAGCAGAAATTTGTCAAAGCTCGTGCTACGCATGATGTCCTTAAAACGTATTTGTTGCCTCCCACGGTGCTAGGAGCGTTGCAACAATAGTTTCCCAGGATACGATGACAACGAACTAATGTTTGAGCACACAAACAAGAGTTCCAACGAACGAGAACAAAAGCTGAACACAAAGGGAATTTTCGGAATGCTGGAGGTGTATTTGAGCTAGAAAACACGTGAAGTTCGTATTGTGTGTTTTTTTTATTGTTGCAAACCACCTGCAGCCATTTATAGGGAAGATTTGTTGTGTGTTTAATGGAGGTTTAATGGATATGAACGTTGGTAATCAATGTCCAGCACGTTGGCATTGATTCTAGTCCAAAAAACCGTCCATTTATTGCAAAGGAACGTTGGGCATTTATGGAAAATCGATATTTCATTCATGTGGGGGATTGTTGGAAAATGTGTTAGTAAATTGCATTAAATGGTCATTTTGGGGCAATTTTTTGAGTGGGGTCCACTTCCGATTCGGGTCGGGTCAAAGTGGTTTCGGATTGTCCTTGTTAAGGGCTACAATTCGATACGTGGTACACTCAAAACGGATAACGGGTGAATGAAATATCGATTTTCGAAGTTTGCCCGTTGAAATGGGGTAGCAGCCGGCTGCTCTAGCAGCCCACTGCCGGCAGGATAGTCGGCAGCAGCCTGCTGCCGGCAGGACAGTCCGCAGCAGCCTACTGCTGAGACGTCTGCCGCAGCCCACTGCTGGGACGTTACAACTCCATAAATGCTCAACGTTCCTTTGCAATAAATGGACGGTTTTTTGGACTAGAATCAATGCCAACGTGCTGGACATTGATTACCAACGTTCATATCCATTAAACCTCCATTAAACACACAACAAATCTTCCCTATAAATGGCTGCAGGTGGTTTGCAACAATAAAAAAACACACAATACGAACTTCACGTGTTTTCTAGCTCAAATACACCTCCAGCATTCCGAAAATTCCCTTTGTGTTCAGCTTTTGTTCTCGTTCGTTGGAACTCTTGTTTGTGTGCTCAAACATTAGTTCGTTGTCATCGTATCCTGGGAAACTATTGTTGCAACGCTCCTAGCACCGTGGGAGGCAACAAATACGTTTTAAGGACATCGTGCGTAGCACGAGCTTTGACAAATTTCTGCTCCATCTCATTTCTGTTTTCTTTTGTCATTTTATTAATTAATTTATTTTAATTAATTTTCTTTGTTTTCCGCAGCAGCCTACTGCTGAGACGTCTGCCGCAGCCCACTGCTGGGACGTTACAACTCCATAAATGCCCAACGTTCCTTTGCAATAAATGGACGGTTTTTTGGACTAGAATCAATGCCAACGTGCTGGACATTGATTACCAACGTTCATATCCATTAAACCTCCATTAAACACACAACAAATCTTCCCTATAAATGGCTGCAGGTGGTTTGCAACAATAAAAAAAACACACAATACGAACTTCACGTGTTTTCTAGCTCAAATACACCTCCAGCATTCCGAAAATTCCCTTTGTGTTCAGCTTTTGTTCTCGTTCGTTGGAACTCTTGTTTGTGTGCTCAAACATTAGTTCGTTGTCATCGTATCCTGTGAAACTATTGTTGCAACGCTCCTAGCACCGTGGGAGGCAACAAATACGTTTTAAGGACATCGTGCGTAGCACGAGCTTTGACAAATTTCTGCTCCATCTCATTTCTGTTTTCTTTTGTCATTTTATTAATTAATTTATTTTAATTAATTTTCTTTGTTTTTCGAAACACACCCAACAATCTTAAAACGTAGGACCATCCTTCGCTCTATAATTTAGTTGTCCCATTTGAACCTAGGACCAACTAGGTTGGGTATCCACTATAGAACTTTTCAATTTACGGGCTTTAATCCCATTCCTCGTGTCAACTTCTCCAACAATTCTCTATCCAATGCCTTGGTTAGCGGATCCGCTATGTTATCCTTCGACTTTACGTAGTCAACAGTGATAACACCCGTTGTGAGGAGTTGTTTAATGGTGTTATGTCTACGACGAACGTGTCTAGACTTACCATTGTAGAGATTGCTCTGTGCCCTTCCAATTGC